AAAAACTCTCCTCCAATTCAATAGATGTACAGGCCATTATATTTTGATATCAAAGAGCCCCAGACACAGTAAGGTGGAAGGCCTGCAAGTGGATTTCTATGTCCTTTTGATGTGTCCTTACCATATAAGCACTTCTTGCTTTCTGGCACAAGATGTTCCATTTTGTACTTTCCCTGTACCAGGCCTGGAATCAGCCACTTTTCCACATGCCAAGTTCTCCCAGTAGAAGACGGTTTTTTATTTTTTACTTAAGGATTATTTTAGGCTAGCTTTTTTTTTTTTTTTAAGTTTATTAATTTATTTAGAAGAGAGAGACCACACGCAAGCAGGGAAGGGGCAGAGAGAGAGAGAGGGAAGGAGAGAATCCCAAACGGGCTCTGAGCTGATAACTGATTACTGATAGCTGACATCATGGAGCCTGACACAGGGCTCAAACTCATGAACCATGAGATGGTGACATGAACCAAAATCAAGAGATGCTTAACTGACTGAGCCACCCAAGTGCCCCATTAAGTTTTTATTTTGAGAGAGAGAGAGAGAGAAAGCAAGCACGGGTTGGGAAGAGGGGGAGAGAGAGGGAGAGAGAGAATTCCAAGCAGGCTCTGTGCTGTCAGTGTGGAGCTAGACATGGAGCTCGTTCTCATGAACCATGAGGTCACGATCTGAGCCAAAATCAAGAGTTGGACACTTAACCCACGGAGCCCACCCAGGTGCCCTGAAGATGGTTCTTTAGAAACAAGATCTGGTCTCAAGGTATGCTCACTGCTGATAACATATCACTGCTTTTAGGCCCGTTCAGCAAAAAGAGCTGGCAGATATTTTTATAAGCTGTATTTTTAAAAATTATACCCAATTTAAGGAAAAAATATACTTTCGGCAAAAAATATACTACAGCATTTGGCCAACCCGTATTTAACAAATATCCAGCCAAAAAAAACCCAACTGTTATGCTATTACTGGGTTAATTTTCCTTTCATACTTTGCATAAATTCTTCTACTACACAGTAAGCTAGTCATATAAATCTTCCGATTTTATGAAAACAAAGCACACATAAAACTAACTTCATCACTTAAAGTTTGAAAGTCAAAGTTAGGAGAACCTCTTTTCCAACGGCAAGAGTAAAGAGGATTTAACAAAGCTCAAGAGGGGCGCCTGGGTGGCGCAGTCGGTTAAGCGTCCG